TGCGATTTTGAACCTAAGAACGTAGTCTCATTTAACTTTACGATTAAGCGGTAGTTGTCAATATACATTTACGAAGGAAAGACGTGTTTAATAATAATACATACTTTAAATAATCTATTCAATTCGAGACGGATAATAAAATTAATAGAATATAGATATTGTAGAACATAAAAATAATGAAAACTATTTTGTGCCGTTCATGAAACTGAAAATGAAAATTGTAAAGTAGATATTTATGACATATAAGATATACTATATAAGATATAACTTGTCTGTCTCTTAGAGATATAAAACGTTAATTTCTTTATGTCTGGCAATTCTGGCTACGCTTAGCTTAGGGGAATATTTTATCCAACTCTGTTGGGGTAGCCGTAAGATTGAAGCATGGCAAACATTTTTGAAATAATTATACAATTTTAAGATACTGCAATATAATATTTTCTCCGTAACCATTATGATTATTCAATAATAGGTCTTTATTTATGAAGTTGTATTGTAATACTGTAAGTATTGTAATACTGACCGAAATGAATTTTCATTTAAAAAATATGGAATTCTATTTTTAAATTCAGTCATTTGTTTATTAATGAGTGTTTTGTTTTCGACTACATTTTTATCTTTTTCATCAATATGAACGCGATAAAAGTACGTGTTTATATTTAGTTATGGAATACGAATCCGTCGCGGTAGCATTACCGCACAAACGGGCTCCCGACATTAATGACGTGTACTGAGTGAGCATTACAAACGAACGCACGATTCGTTATTGGTTTGATCCATAGACGTGGTTTGATCGATTTCGATATGTCAATTCTGATCTAAAAAATTAATAACCGAATTCTAAAGTCAAAAACATCGAATGAAAATCGGTAGTGGAAGTTGACGATACTCAATCTACCGCTGACACCTTTCAACACCAAGAATAACAAAATATAGGTCTATTTGCGTCAAATTGGCGAAGTAAAACCACTTCATAAGTGGGGGTGCCGCAAAAACGGAACGATCGCTATCCCGACGAACGCGTAAAGGTATGCCTTGCGTTGCTTAAAAACACAGAAACGAAGGGATTATGAACCGCAGTGTATTAAAAAAAAAATTTTTTTTTTAAATCTCAATATGCTACCCCTATCCTCCTATCTATTTGCTGGTATCCTAAGAGGCTAATCCAGGTTCTCGTGGACGGAAGTTAGTGATAACTGAGTTGCAACGTGAGTTGCTTAAGCCCTAGTTCAGCATTTAGGCAATGCCATAAACGTAAACTTAGCTTATAGCTTTTACCTTATAAACGATAAACTAAAAATTTATCCAACTAATTTTTAAGCGCTAGTTTGATGGTAATTAATAGGAGTTCATAACTCTAAAAAACATTTAGCAAGAAGGTGGAAGGAAATGTAAGCACTCGATTAAACCTAGGCAGTATGAATGAGTAGAAATTATATAATTTAAAAAATTTCCAATACACGATTACTGTCAATCAACAGTTCTCTGAGAAATGCTGACGAGTGCTATTGTAAATTTAAATATAAAGGTACATAAATCTTAAATGTTGTTTCCTAAATACATTAAAATGTTTTTAACTGAAATAGTTTTTTCTAAGCTAAGTAACACGTTTATGCTGAAAAGATAAACCATCAATTTAAGACTTTGGTATACGAATTAAAATATAAATTGATCGTAATTAAAACCTAAATTTTCCATCAAAACTTAGTGATTCAGTTGGAAAATGCTATTTAAGTTTCCGTAGCTGACAAGGCGTTAGTTTGCCTGTGAATTCCATTTAGTTCAAACTTCAGAAAGTATTTCGAACTGTCGTTCATTTGTAACGAGTGAAAGTCTACTTTTGCTGGGAACGAGACCGAGGGAGGATATTTGCAATAAAATTTGTTTCCCAATGCGAGCTACTCGGTCGTATTTCGGTAGCGTCGTTTTTTTACACACATTCTTCCATTGGACATAAACATATTCTAATCATATCCACGCTATGCTTTTTCTTACTACGAAAAAAGAAAAGAATAAACAAGAACGAGTAATATTGTTTTTTTTTTAATTGCTTAGATGGACGAGCTCACAGCCCACCTGGTGTTAAGTGGTTACTGGAGCCCATAGACATCTACAACGTAAATGCGCCACCCATCTTGAGATATAAGTTCTAAGATCTCAGCATAGTTACAACGGCTGCCCCACCCTTCAAACCGACACGCATTACTGCTTCACGGCTGAAATAGGCAGGGCGGTGGTACCTACCCGCGCGGACTCACAAGAGGTCCTACCACCAGAATTTTTCATAATATTTATTAAACAGCAAAACATATTAAATCTTACCACAAACTGTTATAAACATACTCAACAATACTAGAGTGAATTTTATGTGAAATAAATTGTTATTTTAATATTCACCATTAAACAGGAAACGGGTAGATTTAATCGAACGTCCCACACGCATTTGCACGAGAACATAAGTAGAGATATATCCAAGAACGTTTTCAAGCCCATTACTCTGTAATAAATGTTCTGCGATAACAAGGCCCGCCCCCAAGCAACATCGCAATGTATATTTTTAAGTACCCGATTCACGCTGTCTAGCAGTGTTTTAATGACCTTTAGACTTTAATCTGAAAAAGCGAATTTCGTGAGAGGGTAGTCAGATATTACTCATATAATAAACGGGTAATAGGCGAAACCGATCACGTCTGTTGCTACAACTCATCTTCGGTTCGTAGTAGGAACCACATGTTATTTATAACGTAACACCCTAATTCCTATCACGACTTGCGAGTCTCAGGCCTGCTTTTACGGAACGACCTTGAACACACGTTACATGTAGAACAGACAGTAGTACCTATACACATGTGCAAATTTATTTTGCAAACCATTTCGAGTACAAACACATTCAAACTAGATATGTGTCGTTCGTTCAATTTTAGAGATTCAGATCAGTACTGACCTGTTGACAAAATGATCCGGTTCGTACGACCCGTTCAGTCGAACGAACGACTAAGCGAGACGGGCGCGGGGCGAGACGCGGCAACCCGAAATGACCCGAATGGCCGTCGTACTCGTATGGTTCTTTTCTTCTGATTCGTAGGTTTTGTGTTAAACGAGTCGATTTAGTGAACGACTCATATTTTTTTAAGTGACCCTATCGTTCGCGCGGAATTTGAGACCCGGGTCGTTTGACTCATTCGTTCGCGAACGACACATATCTAATTCAAACGATAAAATTGAATACATTCACCACGTTTATGGCGAGATTACACGGTCACATTGGATGAAACTAACCAATATTTGACAGTGAAAAAATGATTTAATACCAATTTGGGTATTGAAATAAGTATTAAATAAACAGCAAAACAGGAAACTGCATTTTACTTGCTATTTCAGGGATAATATATTATCTTCTATGTTCTTTTATTTCTAACATTTTTCGTTTGTTTCGTGGTAGGGGACAGCCGAATTTGTATGTTTGCGTTCCTAAATCCTTCATCCGATTTCGATATATTATCTTAGTACAGTTATATTGAGACTCCAGTGAAGGTTTCTCTCATGGCACGATCGACATAAGATAGAAGACGCGCGAGCAGTTTTCTGAAATCGATGTTTTGCACACAACTATTTCTACTTACAGTAAAGCGGATTACCGTAGTATTGTATAAAATAAGGAGATTAAACTATAAAAGAGTCGTGTTATATGAGCATAAATAGTATCTTTAAATTTCATTTTTTTTTCAGCTTCACTTTTTTTTTATTGCGATGGGTGGACGAGCTTACAGCCCACCTAATGTTAATGTTTACTGGAGCCAATAGACATCTACAGCGTAAATGCGCCACCCACCTTGAGATATTTAAGTTCTAAGGTCTCAGTATAGTTACAACGGCTGCCCCACCCTTCAAACCGAAACGCATCACTGCTTCACGGCAGAAGGAGGCAGGGTGGTGGTACCTACCCGCGCGGACTCACAAGTGGTCCTACCACCAGTAAAAGCTACAGAAACTCGTTACACGATGATCATTACACTGTTTCTTATAATAATATCGAATGTGTTTTATAATAAATAACACGGAGTAGCGTTTACCTGCTACGTAAGGATACTAACAAGATTAGCAGCTTAACGTTTACCATTTACAAGAGCAGCGAGTTCATTAACATACATCGATATCTAACAATAACATACTCTCTTAATAAAGTCAGCGAGACAATTTATCTAGAGCATTTAACATATTTCATTATTTTTGTGTATACGTAGGTTAAAGTAGTATTTTAATAATCAAATGACGTGTTTGTGAGTTTCCGTTTTTCGAAATTTTTCTTCAGCATCAAGCCTATAATATTTATTATTTTAAAGTGAATATTTTTAAATTAATTCATCAACACTGATGCTTTCTTTAATGTATTTTTGTAATACTCGTAAATACGTTTATTATTTTTTTGTGAATTATGAATTTTCGATGAATAATGTTGTGAAGCGTAAAACATAGTTTTATAGAGCGTCGTGAATAAAACAACCTAGTGCGTACATAATACTTTATTGCTTTACACAAAAAAATATTAGTTGATCTTTTTTTTTTTAAATGGTCATGTCTTATGTGCCTATAATGATTTAGTAACGCATAGTAACATTTTTTTTTTTTTTTTTTTTTTAGTTTCCATTTGCGTACCGCAATAAATAACAGTACCAAAGTTGGTGCAACACCATCCGTGATGCGAAAATCTCGTGGTTCGAGTGATAAACTATGTTTTTCATGGCAAATTTCAGGTGTAGTGTAAAAATTACTATATTACTTTTCCACTATAATCTAACTTTAAAAGATTATTACCCAAGTATACTATATAGTAGTAGTGTGTTATTCACATTTGTGTCTGATGAATAAGTCGATTTGTAATAAATGCTATGCTATAAAGATATTGGTGTGCCATAGATGCTGAATGAATATGCAGGAATTTCCATTAAAAATGCATTACTGTGCCTTTCTTATCTCATTGAAATGTCTAGATCACTTACCCAAGCAGAGCAGTTTCTTCGGCATTGTTCGATGGCATTTTCATGGATTTTTCTTTGTCTGGTTGAGTTATAGCCTTTTGCCTATAATCAGTGCCAAAGTATTATTTTTTTATTATTATTTATTAAACTTTATATATTGATCTATCTTATTATGATGAATTACAATTTATGTAGGTTGAACAACTGAATTCAGAATTTACACATATGCTATGCTACATTTACTATTCGGGACACAAAATATTTCAGTTCAGTTAAAATTTTTACTTGAAAAAAAAAAAGGGTTGGTAGAGATATTTTTACATAAAATTTTGTTGACATCAATTATTAAGCAAATTTAATGAGTTTAAATAAAGTCAAGCAAATGCATTCTGATGCATTTCTGTATTATTATTATATAGAGGCAATATGTATGTAACTTATTAAAAAAATGTAACAAATACTGCTATTAACTATATTTGCATATTTTTAAAGCACTGTAAAGCTAATGAAGTGTTCTAAAATTACACTAATTATTAAATACTTATAGAATATAAAAAAGATTAATAAAAATGAAACATAAATAAATAGATAAACAGAAGTGGCTTTGATTTTACTTAGCTGTGGCAAAATAAAAGTAGTACTCACTCATTTAAAACTCCAACAAATTGAGACAAGCGCTTGGCAAAAAGTGGAGTAAGCCTTTTCCTAACAGCTGCACGAAACTGTAGAATTTTCTTAATATTTTTCTTTTTTATTGGCACAGTTGTATCTCTGTATACTTCATCCAACACCACATAATAAGCGCCATTCAGCAAACTTCGAGACATGCCAACTTAATACAACGCTACATAAACACATGCAGTTAGTTTAAAATTTAAAAGTAAGTTTTTGAGCAAAGCAGTGAAGTTACAAAACAATTTAAATTGTGAAAAACTAATAACATAAGTTTAAAAAATGTAATGTATTACTTACTGAAGGGCGCCCGTCGGAGCAAATATTTTTTTAAAGAGTTAGACGAATGTTTTAATTCACTGAAGATACTGTGAGCACCAGTGCACCTGCTTCTGCGGCCGACATCAAAGTAATCAGCCGGCCTCGCACTTGAGAAGCTCGTGCAAAACCGAAACTAGGCTCACTTCGCGACAAACTGGAAGCGCATGCGTATTTCAACACCTCTATTATTCAATTTAAATGCCGGGAAGTTACGAATCATCAAATGAGCGCTCGAAACTTTACATTTAAACGTTGTTTTAGTACCTGCCTGAAACAGTTTCCATCTCAAAGTATACCATTTAAAGTACTCCAGGTGTTGCTCTTGAAAATAATTTATGTTTAATTTAACTATTTAGAGCATTTTAATTTCATAAGCATGTAAGTCGCTAGAAAACGGAATTCACCAATTTCAGCATTTGCTTCGTTTTGACATCTGACAGCTGACATTAAGCAGTGTCATTTTTAGGATTACCAGCTAAACGTAGTTCTTTTACAGAGACTAATGACAAAAGAACATTAAAAACATAATTTACGAAATTAATTAACCATATTAAGCTTCAAAGAAATTAATAGCCTAAAATAGACCGCATATAAAAAGTTACTACACAATATCTGTACAAAAGCTTAAGAACGCGTACATCTGACCGCTGCTCTTGTCTGTTAAGTTACGTGTCAATTGACTTTCTTTCACTGTACCTTTGATACCCTAGCATCTTTAAAAGATAGCAACCCCTGTTTCCGCCTTTATTTACATTGGCAGAGGTATTAAATCATGCACAGAAAAAAAATCTTTTATTTCCAATGCAAATAATGAATTTATGAAATGTACTTATTTAAGCTACAAAATAATATCTATTCACACCTGGCTGAGATGAGGTTGCCACGAAATGTGGAGCACAACCTGAAATGTATTTCCGTACAATTCCGTAAAACAAGTTATTAAGTTTTTTTCCGGAAAAATAAATTAATATAATTTTAATTACAAATATTAGCGATCATATTTTGAATTGTATTGGAAATGAAACGTATATAAACATTTAAATTTTGACTACTTTGCGAATGTACTAATCATGCAGCAGAATCTCATGCTTTATATTATAATATTATATAATCTCCGTTTGTATTGAAATAAAGTTGATTTCAGTGAAAGGAATGAAATGAAATGAAATGAGTTGAATAAATTAATTTCTCAGGAAAATAGTGGGAATTTACTTAAGTTCCAATCCACTTGGCAAATAGCAAAGTGGAATAAACATTAAGAATGGCTAAAAGACTACATTCCAGATCATTTCATTATTGTAAAAAAATGGCCATTGTAATGGAAAATTTGAATGGGTCATTGTATCGTGTGTAGTTTTCAAATCGGTACACAATTAAAAAAAGCAGTAAACCTTAAACTTAGTTGAGTGAGCTAGTACAGACAACATTTAAATACATTTTATTCTTTGTTACTATTTTCCTATTTTCGTAGTACAATTTTGTAAGAGCTCCGCGCTCATGTGCCTCTATCTAGCTTCTATAATACAAAGTATTTCCGAACGTAGAAGCAACTTAAACATTTCTATGAATTTTTGTTATTGGCGCCTAGATGGCGCTGATATTCAAAATTTGAAAATGTCAAAATCAATTATTGTAACTCACAGTGGGTATGTACATAACTTGTTACTATTTTTACTTACACAGCAGAAATCGAAGTAAGATTATTATTTTATACTAATGGCTTTATGGCTTAGGTGATTAACAGATACAATAATTATTTTATTTGGTCAAAATACAGTTATTAGTTGCTGCGCCTTGCGTGGAACCTAAGTTCAAATGTTAATAAGTCTCAACAAAACATGGATAGTCATTTTTGTTTTAAAAATATATTACAATTAATGTAATATCTCTGATTTATTCTTTACAAATGCTTTAATAAGTTTGGAGGTTAACGAAAAAGAGAAGATCAAATCAAATCAAAAAGAAATTATTCAACATAAATGAAAGTACATACTTGTTGAACGTCAAAAGAACTACCGCCAATTCACAAAGACTAGCCTCCGTCCTGATAACTGGCAAGAAACTCAGCGGGCATGTCTTTTTTTTTAAATATTACATTTTTTTTAATATTTTTTTTATATTCATTTTTACAATGAGTATTATAACGTAACAATTATTGCAATATTGAAATGCCCGGAGCGAGCAACTCATTCCCACTTTGTGCAATCTTCTAGATAATCATTGACTTGATAGTAAGCTTTACGGCACAGATGTTCTTTAATAGTTTTCTTAAACCTATATATATGTAGGTTCTGAACATCTTGTGGGATTTTGTTGTACAGGCGCAGATCTTTCACCGAGCGGGTAGACCGAAGGCCCAAATGTTGTTGTTCGGAATTTGTATTTAAGCAAGCTTATTTTGAAAATGCTGTTAGAGAGAATCAGGCATCTGTTAAATATATAATACCTATTATATGAGGGTTAACGCTATATCCTCCTACTACTAATGGGCTAGCCCTGTGACCCCGAAGTGGATCTTGACCTCGGACAACAGACGCCGCTATTCGTCACGCCGCTGCGCAATACCTTGCCAGTCCGGCACTTTTTCTTTATGAAAGATGGATTACTAGTGGCCCAGAAGCCTTTCCAGTTTTACCTGGAAAGGTGGGCGAGTACGGGCTCAGCCAGGAAGGGTGGGGTTTGCTAACACCTGTCCAAGCGCCTCCAAAGGATACCTACCTAAGAACTGGTGGTAGGACCTCTTGTGAGTCCGCGCGGGTGGGTACCACCACCCTGCCTATTTTTGCCGTGAAGCAGTAATGCGTTTCGGTTTGAAGGGTGGGGCAGCCGTTGTAACTATACTTGATACCTTAGAACTTATATCTCAAGGTGGGTGGCGCATTTAAGTTGTGGATGTCTATGGGCTCCAGTAACCACTTAACACCAGGTCGTCTGTGAGCTCGTCCTAAGCAATAAAAAAAACTCAAAACCGACTGCTTTGCGAATGAATCTACTACCGGATCGGAATCGCGACCCGCTGAGAAGATGCGGCGAGAAACTCAGCGGGCTGATGCATGGGTTAGGTTGTCCCGGTTGTTACCGGGGTCCGTAAGCCTGCTCCTAGCGTTAGAGCTGAAAGCGTCTAATGCAAGGGTTATTGGATCTGATGGATCCGTAAGGACGTGTATAGGGCGTCGACGGTGACTGACTCCTCCGTGATCAGAATTGAAGGAGTAGTCAGCAGCGGCAACGATAAGGCGATTATCATAACGCATAGCTTTATCGAAGTATCGCTCCGACGCGACGCTTACTTCATATGTTTTCGGAACGATTCGGGGTCCAAGTCGTCGTGTAAGTCGACGTTCCTCACGAACCACGGAGCTCCGACAGCCAACAAAAATTCATAGGCGTAATAAATAGGTAGTGAGTTGTGAGAATGTAAATTGGATCAACAGTCTTATCAGAATGCTAATTCCCGTTTTATATCTAAAGTACATCAATGTCAATAACGCTGTTTCCTGGAAAGCACAATATTTCTCCTTATTCTATCAGGTTGAACGATTGTTTTACAAAAATATATTTAAGCGGATTCCTTCATAGTTTTATATCTATCTATAATCTATCTATCACTCAATTATTGCAAATGAATAAGATTTGTAATTTTCAATTTGATGAAATGTTTGTTGTTTTTTGCTATCCAATCAAAATTATTTACAGAGTGTATAGTAAAAGCTACCGAAAAAGAATGGTAGTGATAATAGTGATTCGTGACCTGATTGACACCACTTAAAATAAAGACGATGACAAAATTTAATAAATTAAATTTTGTTTTTTTACTTTATTTAACGCAATGGAACGCCCAGTACTGGATGCGTTCTACAGTGCAGCCACGTGAGATTAAATGACTGAAGTTATTGATCGCCCCGTATTCCACACTTTCCATTTTGGATTCACAAAATACTACTGGTGGTAGGACTTCTTGTGAGTCCGGGCGGTTAGGTACCACCACCCTGCCTCTTTCTGCCGTGAAGCAGTAATGCATTTCGGTGTGAAGGGTGGGGCAGTCGTTGTAACTATACTTGAGACCTTGGAACTTATATCTCAAGGTGGGTGGCACATTTACGTTGTAAATGTCTATAGGCTCCAGTAACTACTTAACACCAGGTGGACTGTGAGTTCTTTTTTTTCTTTTCTTTATTTTTTCCTACCTAAGTTGATATTCAGCGTAACCTTAACTAGGAGGAGAGCTCACGGGGCCCAAACCGGAGTGATGCTAACACTGACCCTAGCAAGAGCAGTGCTTCGCAGAATCTACCACCGGATCGGAAGCGCGACCCACTGAGAAGATCCGGCGAGAAACTCAGTGGGCTGTGTCTATGGGTTAATTCGCTCGTCGAGCCCTTCGTCGCAAGCGACGGGTTCGACGAGGACGGTGACCGGATTATGTATCTGTATCTACCGTATACTATGATAACATAAATTGGAGATGTAAAATAGAACCTTATTGTTACAACCAAGCATAACAAATTCACGTGGGCACTCGACATTGCAGATACATTCATTTGTCATTTGTGTTTTATAAAACCGTCTGTATTTTACTTACAAACCGTATGTAGGTATAGGTGTCCCAGCATAGCACCCTTCCGTAGTGCATTCGAAAGATCGCGGCATTATCTCACAAATTCCATTTCTATAAACCGCGACACAGTTCGCTCCGTGCCCCGTTACTGCACCGCCAATAACCGGCAGGATCTCATCAACTTCGAACCCAATATTATCCATTTTTAATTTATACTTTGATAATTCTAACTTGTGACCGTTTACGAAAGACTCCCCGTTGCGACTAAACGCATAATAATGAATAAATAGTAAGGTGTGGTATACATTGTTAATTCAGTCGTTTCGTAGACTCATGGAAAATGTAATGACCGTATCTAATAAAGTCAATTACAGTTTGCGTATCAATCGTTCGACTTGCACAATATGCCAGAAGAACCATTCACCTACGACTTACACACACACACATTGTTCTCAAAAACACAATTAACTATATTTAAGTAGTGTGCAGCTAACGCTGCTGTGTAATGCTATATGTATACTACTATATACTACTATACTACTATATACTACTATACTACTATATACTGTATACTACTATATAATTACTTCCCCGCACCAAAGGAAAGAGAAATATTATATCATTCTGATTGTCTCCGTGGAAGAGTTCCTATCCTATTCATATAGACTTTTTCGATTTAATTCATGTTTTGTATAATATTTAGGTTTGATATGTTTTTTTTAAGTTTATCTAATAAGTTTATAGTAAGGATAGAATTAATTCACTAAAAAAAACTGATTTTAAGCAGATATTTTGTTTTTGTAATTTGTGGTTGTAGGTTGC